TGACGTCGCCGATGATGAAATTAATTTTAGCAAAATGTGCTTGGTACTTTTCATTGGGCTGAAGGGATAATTTAAACATGTTCTGTGTTCCATTATTGTAATCAATAACAATGTCCGAAGTGTCATAAAAACAGACAAAGTCTTCATGGTAATATGTGTCTGGTAATTAGGATAACATTACGTCTGATATCGAGAGTCACATGTTCACAACTTTAACGCAGCACACGCCTGCATGCCGCTTCCACGTGAGTATTGTCAATGCAATACGCTGTGAGCTATCCCTTTATATAGTTCCTGCCAGGGTGACCGTAAGGTACTGGCAGCATTCTGCTAGATGTACTTTCAAAATCTGCTAGATTTAACAAAAATCTACTAAATCACCTATCATTACACGGAATTCATTATAAACACTTATGCTCACATGCAGTATATAATTTCCTTAAACAAAAGAAATATACAATTTCCTTTAAAAAAATAATTGATTTTTTTTACTGCACGTGTCTATACTGGCATAAGTATTTTACAGTCAGGCAGCTTCAAATTGAAGCTTTTTCAAAACTAATCGGCTATATTTTCAAATCTGCCATATTTTTCCGTCAAATTACCAATTTTACAAAATCTGCTTGCTCCTTAACGAAATCGATCTGCTAAACGTTCTGTCTCACTAGTTTTTGTCCCGAAAAATTCTGCCAAATTTAGCCGAAATTCAGCTAAAACGGTCACCCTGGCTCCCGAATTATGTGATGTAGTGAATCTATTATGCGGTGTTGTCAATCCATTACGCAGTAACTCCACGTAAATGGGTTGACGACATCATATAATGGACTGACTACATCACATAATGGATTGACTACATCACATAATGGATTGACTACATCACATAATGGATTGACTACATCACATAATGGATTGACTACATCACAAAATAGAATGACGACATCACATAATGGATTGACGACATCACATAATGGATTGACTACATCACATAATAGATTGACTACATCACATAATGAATTGACTACATCACATAATGAATTGACTACATCACAAAATGAATTGACTACATCACATAATGGATTGACTACATCACATAAAAGATTGACGACATCACATAATGGATTGACGACATCACAAAATAGATTGACGACATCACATAATGGATTGACGACATCACATAAAGGATTGACTACATCACATAATGGATTGACTACATCACATAATGGATTGACTACATCACATAATGGATTGACGACATCACATAATGGATTGACTACATCACATAATGGATTGACTACATCACATAATAGATTGACTACATCACATAATGGATTGACGACATCACATAATAGATTGACGACATCACATAAAGGATTGACTACATCACAAAATGCATTGACTACATCACATAATGCATTGACGACATCATCAAATTACGTTTACCCGGTAACATCATAAATTGGTACGTTTGGCGTTCCATACTCATCTGGGCGGAGGTGGATGTCAGGAAAGTCAATAAAGTGGGCGCCAGTTGATTGAAAGCCAAAGTGTAGGCGTACGACTTGCCATATGGTCTGTACTGAGGTTGAGTTCTAGATAATGGTATTTCTGGATATCACGGGGCAATAATTTGCGATTTGCCCCAACATTAGCTCAAGCATAGTTACTTTTTGCTGGGCAGTTTTGCGTTTGTCCACTGGGACTGTGTCATTGTCATCCTGGAAACCTCGTAGGGGGGCTGTTTTAGTTTTCTTCCCCCACTGACAGCCCTTCACTGAGAATGGAGCAAAGTTGGTATCAAGTGAGAGCGTATATTGAAGGTTTTGCCGCCAGTTCTCGAAAGTGTTTACTGTTTCTACCTTGCTCAAGCGGTGCGCGGTGCGTGGACGCCATAGTGCACTCCGAAAATAATCACTTAATGACAAGACGATGTACTCAATTGTATACAGTCACTCACCGTATACGTGAATGGATATGTATGTGTCCGGTATGTCCGAGGTTTGAAGCACTTTTTCCACACTTTCTACGGCAAAGATTTGTCTCAAAACGCTGCCACCATTCCAGTAGGGACAAGAGTTCAATCCAACACACACAATAACCGCAACTGTAATCGACTTATTGGGTATAATGGGAGACTTTAATGAGCAAAGGCGAGAATGCACATTGAGCGATAAACGATAGAACGAAGACAAACAGGGCGAAGGTCACAAACGCAAGAGGGCGTAATCATTACTACTGGCGCTAAAACATAAATAAACTACAAATTACGGAAGCGTATATGACCATCTGCGTTACTGCGTTATTGAGACAAAATATCTTGGAAACATGGATTTCCCTGAAAGGCTATCGTGGAAACGTGGGATACTGTGATAGCATGTCACAGAAATGTGGAATTCTGTGATACTGATAGGCTATCGTGGAATCGTGGAATACTGTGATAGCTTATCACGGAAATGTTGAATATCGTTAGGCCGAATAAAAAAAAAAATGTTTCTTGTCCGGGTTTTCGAAAAAAAGGAGGAAGCGGGGCAACCTCGTCCCCAGTGCTTACTTTATTTCCAACCTGGTTTCCAATAGTAAACCCTGGATAGGAAACTTTCTTCCTGTATCCTGATTCGATACCGCAATTGGCTAGTAATGGATTTTTATCGTGTACTTGGTGTTATTATTCACAACGTGCAGTACGTGTTTTCGCGATCATTTGTCCATGCCTTCTCGAAAATACTAATTTCCTTTCCAATATGGTCATATTAATATGAAATATGATACTGCATGTTGTCTCGATAAAATCGTAACAGCTTAATTTAAAAAAATTGTGTTTTTGTAACTCACGCCGTGCTCGCGCTGCGACGAATTGACTCTGATTTTAACCCAGACACCGCATACAAAAACAAACGCCATTGTAACGCATATCCAGGCACCAGACTATTCCTCATTTGCATACGTGTTCAAAAATCTTGCACATGCAAATGATCCAATACCAGGGTGAGAGAGCAGGTAGTGATGGGCGCGTACTGTTCGACACCCTGGGGACGAGGTTGGAAGCGGGGCTTTTTATTTTTTATTTGTTTCAAGATGCAATAGTTGGTGTTTCCACTGTTCAAAGACACTTTTAAAATGAAAGATAAGTTGGACGAGGTTGGAAGCGGGGCTTTTTATTTTTTATTTGTTTCAAGATGCAATAGTTGGTGTTTCCACTGTTCAAAGACACTTTTAAAATGAAAGATAAGTTGGACAAGAGAACTGAACATATTTACAGTGTCATTTAGATTTGTATTGGTCTACAATTTATTTTCCGATGCATTTGTGGACTTTTTCGGTGTTTTTTTACTGCATTTTTCAAAAATAAAAAATAATAAAAAAATCCAGGCGGCCTCCAAAAAGGAAGCGGGCAGGGACGAGAAACATGTTTTTTTTTTACTTCGCCTTGTAGCCTATCACAGATACATAGATTTCGGTGATAGGCTATTGGGAAAGTGTGTAATTCAATGATGAGCTATCGTGGAAACGTGCCTTGGAATTTTGTGATATGCTAACGATATCATGGCATATCGCTTTGCCACGATAAAACAATTCCATGTTGCTGAGATACCCTATCGCGGTATTCCACATTTTGGCTATCACAGTATTCCGCGTTTCCACGATAGCATATCTCGGAATTCCACTTATTCGTGATAGCCTATCACTGAATGCGATTGCCACATTTCCACGATAACCTACCACGGATTTCCACGTTTCCATGATAGGCTTTCATGGAATTCAGCATTTTCATGATGGGCTAACGCTGCATTCCTAGTTGTCAAGATATTTTATGATAGAACTCTATGTTTTCAAGATATTTTATCTCAGTAACGCAGTAACTCGGATTGTCATATAGGCATACGCTTCCGTAACACATAAAGTCTAAATGTGAAAATAAAAACTTGACAAAGATCTACATGTTCGGGTACATGGTCCAAATGTGGCCTTTATTTACGGAGGTAGTCCAGTAAATTGGCCACAATTATGGGGCTAGTATGGTAGTAATTTGACACCATTTGACAATATTTCACAATTAAGTTGCGTTGACGCAATTCTAAATAACGCTATTCTAACGCGATTCCACCGCGATAGGTCAGCATGATTGTCGGTACCACCACTGGCACTGCACCATGGAGCTATCCATGCACAGACCATTTCCATTTGCGTAACCGGGCAATCAACTGTACGCATGGCCGGTTTCGAATTTCCCACAGTAAACTTTTTATTTGGATTGGAGGTTTGACATTGTGGTCAATATCACTGAAACAATCATGCATGACGAACAAAATACCCGCCGATCGTGTAGTGTAGGGCCTGGTATAGGGAACAAAATCCACTTTAAAATTATTAGACCGACCAAACTAGGTCAACATTCTCAATAAACAGGTATTTCATAGGTAGAGGGCAGGGATTTGATTTTTTTAAGGGAAATTTGGGGGTAAAATGACGATGACAGCACGGCACCAACACGCAACCCCAAAATAAAGATGGCGATCACCGCGCGATGTACATGTATCGTGAACATGCACGGCGCGCTGAATCGCAAGGCACAAACCGCGCAGGAAAATCGTGATTTCTACCCCAAGAACCTGTTCAAATTGCAAAACGGGCGTCACTAGAATTGAGAAAAGTCTGCTTTTGATTGTAAAGGTGATTTTTTAGCAATAAAAAAACAATTTGACTATCATTTGGGTAATCCTTACTTTTTCTGGTTGTCATCGTCGCCCTTTACCCCCAAATTTCCCTCATAAATCAAAGCCCTGCCCTCTTTCCACAAAATTAAACCTGCTGATATTTTTCAAGAAGGTCATTGCCAATCGTTCAGATGTGCCAATCATCAGAATGTCAATTTTGAGTGTCATTTAGTCAACTGTTTTGGTGAGTCTTTCCCTTCCTATATAGAACGGGGTCCTAAAAGTAAGGATTACCATAATTTGATCAAAACAAAACTGGGGCCCTACACTACACGATCGCCAAAATACCTTTACTTTAGTATCGTACAGTCATAAAATGTCCTCGACGACCCTCCATCAGCTCGCAGGTAACGCGCGCTTGCAACGTGAGTGTGTAGAATTAGAAATAGGACCCAGCTAAGGCTTTCGGGGGTCTGATGACGGGGATCCCCCGTTTATTTCCGTTTAGGCCGCAGAGGGCGCGAGCGTTCGTTACTGTGGGCTCGCTCACCCGGCCCTACAGTACACCCGAGTGTGTCACGTCATTTTAAAGCAGACGTATATATCGGCGACGTTTGGTACGGGAGCGCGAGCGCGAGTGCAAGTACACGAATATAAAATACGACAAGTTCTACTCGAGTCCATTCGCCTACTGATCTAAACGTTAACGCAGCAGTATAATATAGTGCACAAAGGGCACTCTAGGACGCGGTTGCCGAATTAACGTGCCATACTAACAACAACAAGAAGCAACATTTCCATGGTCCAAGGCAAGCAGGATGGCGGGCTCTGCCTCTGCAGGAGAAAAATGCAGTTTCCAGTTACGGAGAATAGGAGCCCCTGCAACATGCAAAGGAATAAAAGATTCGTACAGGTTAGCCAGTGTTTATTTGGCGATCGTGTAGCGGAGGCCGTAGGGCCCCTGTTTTGTTTTGATCAAATTAGACTAGAGTCAAAAATGTTTTTTTTTTATGGTAGTGGATATTTTGCCGGAGACGGCAAACCTTTAGTAAACGTTAGTTTGCCGGATATGCACTGAACATGCGCAGTTACTGTTTTTTTGTACTTAATCATTTTCCGGTGACAAATTTTAGTCTGGCTCCATGCCAATATTATCATTGTAACCTCGTATTCACAAGATGGGATTTAGATTCGTGAACGTGGCGTTGTATATAGCCACGTTCACGGGTCTAGATGGGATTCAGACCATTTTATAATTTCGGACTTTATTTCCCTTTTAAAAAAAATCCTCCAGAGCCACAAATCTGAAAAAGAAAATGTAACACTCTGCAATAAAATGTTTGAGACATGTTAAAATAATAAAAGAAAAATATTCTTATTTATTTGGGGATGGGAAAAAAAACCTTAAAAATGTGGCGGGGATCGGGATCGAACCTGAGTCATCCCGCTCACTAGAGCTTTTGCTTAACCACTACACCAAACGTGCTACACAACTTTTGGTGGGAATTTAATACATCTTATAATTCAGCCCTATCTTAAAGAGTACAGCGCCCTCTGTTGATGTGGATTGCCGCCGGCAAACCTTTAGTAAATGTTAGTTTGCCGTCATTACCTCCGGCAAAATATCCACTATCTTTTTTTATTGCTCAAAAATCACCTTTACAATCAAAAGCAGACTTTTCTCAATTCTATTGACACCCGTTTTGCAATTTTAAACAGTTTATTGGGGTAGAAATCACAATTTTCCTACGCAGTTTGTGCCTTGCGATTCAGCGCGCCATGTCACATGTGTGGGTTGCGTGTTGTCGCCGCGCTGTCATCGTCTTTTTACCCCCAAATTTCCCTCAAAAATCAATTTAACCCTGCCCTCTATGACATTTACCTGTTTATTGAGAATGTTGCCAACTAGCATGACTAGTTTGGTCGGTCTAATAATTTTAAAGTGGATTTTGTTCCCTTATACTAGAACTGGGCCCTACACTACACAATAGCCGTTTATTCCTCCATGGTTGAACCATTCTACCTCCATGGTTGAACCAAGGGCAAATCCCGGGGGGGGGGGGGGGGGGGGGGATAGCCCAGGTTGGACTCCGTTGTGTACACGATGGAATCCAGGGTATGAACGTCTGCTGCCATATAGCGAAAAAAATTATAATACTTTTTTTTCATATTTTTACCTGATGGAGGAAGCTGATGATATATGTCAAGAATTGTGCAGACGCTAGTCCGAGTTACTTGGACCCAACTTATAGCCTTTTTAATATTCGGACATGGTCTGGCAATAGTTGGGTCCAAGTCGATCTGCATATATGCCGAGCGACACAACGCTCACCTTGACCCCAAAACCCGACATTGCCCAACAAAAACAGCAGATTTCACCCTCAAAACGGCCTGCAAATTACTAGATACGCCACATGAGGTACAAGTAGAGATCAATGATTAAGATTGAGGTACTAAAGGTTACTTACGATCCGGATGAAAAGTGAAATTTGCCGTTCAATTCCGTGAGCTCCCCTCGTGATCGTGAACACGTAAAATTTCCGACTCGTGTTTGAACAATGCGATATGGTCGTGCCCAGCGTTCATTCAATGGTCCCCCTTTCCCGAGTGCGATTCCGTTACCGAGCGCGATGATCATCGTGTCGCCCGCAGGCAGGAACCCCTTGGCGTCTCCAATCTTCCCTATCCTTTATGCAGGCAGCCAACTCTGTTGTCTCCGCTCTGGCATCTCTCCTCAGGACACCGACATAGCTCGTCCTCTGTCGTCCCCTCAGCTTCACCCCATGAGTCGGTTCCCACAGCACCAGATGGCTTGCAGGTAGCTCAGGGTGTCTGCAGCATTGCCCTGCCATGCCTATCCGCCTGTATGCGATCTTTTGTGAGATCCGAGGTAGCATGCCGTAAAGGGTGTTACTAGGCACGTGGTCTCTCCAGTCGATGTTGAGCACCATCCTCAACATTCTGATGTAACACCCGTCGAGGGACTTCTGAAGGGTCGTGGTTAAGGTCCACTACTCACATCCATATAGCAGGATGGACTCCACCATGGCCGGGAAGAAACTGATCTTGACATCCCTTGACATGTTAGAGCTCCATACGGTTTTCATCCAATGAAGAGCCTTCCAGGCAAGGGCTTTCCTAATGCAAATGTCGTGCTCGGAGGAGTCGACCCATGACTCCAGATACTTGAAGTTGCTAACTTCCTTAAGAGGGCGGCCCTCTAGAGTGGTAAGGGGTGCATGGTCTGGGAAGTTGTAAGCTATCACCTCCGTCTTTCTAGCATTGAGTGAGAGTCCCACCCGGCTACATTCCATCTCCATACGCGTCCGAAGCTCCTGTGCCTGGGAAGTGGAGTTCGAGAGGAGACTGATGTCATCCGCAAAGTCGAGGTCAGTCAAGGCAACTGCGGGATAGCAGCTCGATCCCCATAGTCTCAGTGTGAATCCAAGATCTACCTCGCATCCGCTGATTGCTCGTCTGAGGGCAGAGTCAAGAACAATGATGAATATGAATGGGGCGAGGGTATCCCCCTGCATGACTCCTGCCAAGATGTCAAAATCGTCTGTGTTCCCATCGGGAGTGACCACTTTGGCTCGGGTCCCTGAGTACATTGACTGAATGGCTTGAAGCAGATTCGTTGGGACTCCGTATGCCTTAAGAATTTTCACCATCTTCCTTCTGTGGATGGAATCAAATGCTTTTCTGAAGTCAATGAATGTCAGGATTGCTGTCAGGTTACTGCTCTTCACCTCCTCAATTATTCGCCTCAGAGCCAGGATCTGTGCTGTTGTTGATCTCCTCTCTCTGAACCCGTTCTGGTTATCTCTCAGGTGAGGGTCGATCGCACTGCGTAGCCGATTTAGTATCATGCGATTGAACATCTTTGCAATGATACATGTGAGGCTAATGCCACGGTAGTTGTCGGTTTTACCAAGGCCACCAGATTTGGGCATGGGTATGATGTTCGACAGCGACCATTGACTGGGGACTTCGTTGATAATCAGGGCAAGGTTGCAGATTTCCAGAATTATGATGTCAATGTCACATTTCTTGAAGACTTCTGGAGGTATTCCATCTGGACCTGCACTCTTCCCTTGTTGCAGTGTCGACTTGACCCTGGCCAGCTCAGAATAGTTGAGAGTGTCCAACGCCAAGCGGCGCGTTTTGTCATGATGGACTACCACTGGGAATCAAGTGTGTCCGACATGCTGACATCACTGAGATGGGACACCCTTACGTGACAGACGTCTCCTCCATCAGGTTGAACTCCTCTACAAAATTCAACATGGCCAAGTAAATATAACTACTCCTATGAACATCGTCCATCACACGATCAAGCCGACACAGCCAGACCAATCAACATAACCTCATCTACAGGCAACCACTCACCAGAGTTAACTGCTACCTCTATAGCCCTTTCCCGAGAGCTTTTCGGATTTGGAACAGGCTACCAGTGGCTGTGGTTACTGCGACCACTTTGAAAGGGTTCCAGACAGAAGCTCTCCCAGCTATAAGAGGGATGGAGCTACCAGTTGTATCTCTCAGGACAAATTGACAATACCACCATCCGATAAGCACCCTAACAGCACACACAAAGAGCACACATGGAATTGCAACCCACCCTCTCCAGGACAGCAGCAATGCTTTTAGGAGAGTACTCTTATGCAAGATGCAAGATGCAAGATGGCAGTGAATGGTCCATCATTGATGTCTAGGTCAGTGAGGATGTCAGGGATGTCTTCATCAGCATCTTCAATATCTGGTGCACTTCCTAGTAGGCTGCTGAAGTGGGTGAACCACATATCAACTCTCTCCTCTGCACTGGCACCCGCCACCTGACCCTCCTTCGCCTTCTTGCGCCCTGTCATGTCATTGATAACCTTCCAGGATTCATTGTACCAGCGTTCACCATGAGCTGTCTCAATGCGCCTGACTTTCTTTGCCAACTCCTCACTCCTGAGCCTGTCATATGTGCTAAACAGCAGCTAGTTTGCCTCTTTAATCAGGTCACGGTTCTCCAAGGTCTCGTTTTGAATAAACTCCCGGTGGGACGATTCCACTTTATCTCTTGCCATAATTATGTCAGGTTGCTTTGATCGAGCACTGACCTTGAATCGCTCTATCTCTGGAACACACTCCATCATTGCCTCAGCATTTGCTCTAACAAAACGCTCGTACCGATTGCTTGGGTTCTCTGCTTCCGCCAGAAACTGAAAGCGGTTATGGACCTCTACGGTGTACTTCTCTTGTAGCTATACTTCTCTGGTCTTGCCGCGAACAACCTCCAGTCGTATCTGAGTCTGGGCTTTGGTTTTGGTACTCTCAGACTCAGTCTCACCTTCATGGAGACGACTCTGCGGTCAGAGCCCACAGAAGCAAACGTGCTGACGGGCTTTTCAAGATGCTGTTCCTCCACTTCCTCGTAATCCCGGTGCCACGGTCTCTGAACGTCCACCTCTTCCTGCGCTTTTTCCGATTTTGGGTGTTGGCAGCAAAGAGCTGGTGCTCACTCATAAACTCGGACAGATGCATGCCGTTTCTGTTGGTGCTGTCATGATACGTGTACAGTACATCTTCAGGTACTAGTCTAGCATTGGAATCACCCAAGATGGCTAGGAAGTTATGAGTTAGCACAGACCTGACAGCAGCTGTGAGCTGCTCATAGAACAACTCCACGTCCTCTACTTGTGATACATTGGTTGGGGAGTAAGCAAGGAGGACAGTTGTGACTGGATTGCTGTCGAACTTGGCAATTAGGATCCTCTCAGAATGATAGTGAACTTCCCGAAGAGCCCTTCTAGCTTGAGGACTAAACATCAGTCCCACCCCTCCAGTAGCTGCCTGTGCCGCATTCCTCCATGCCGACGACGTGACGAGGTAGCTGCCCTCCACTCTCTCAAACACAAGCTGGTC